CTATTCTATTCTATTCTAAATTCATATTCTATTCTGTTCTAAATTCCTATTCTATTCTATTCTATTCTATTCTATTCTATTCTATTCTATTCTATTCCATTCCATTCCATTCCATTCCATTCCTTTCCATTGCAGGAGAAACCAAACAAGCTTCTGCCCTTATAATCCGCTGATCAAAAGGAAAAAAAAAAGCATAACACTCAATAATTAAGAGCAGCTTTAATCAGGGACCATGAGCGCTGCCGAACCCTTCGTAGACACTCAAATGTGCCAAGGGGCAGCTGTTGCAAAGCACGGGTGAGGAAACTAAGTCACACCTCCTTTGAAGTTAGAGGGCTCCTAACTGGGAAAACCCAGGAAGAGAGAGGAAAAACCCTCTTTGAAATCCAGATTTTCCGGTGCACAGTTTCCATCATTAAGCCGCCCTCTGAATAAAAGAGGCAGGAAGGGCCGGGCGGGGCAGGGTGGGATCGGATAGGAAATGAATGCTGACACGAGGACAGCCAAAATGGCAGGAACCGCTGAAAGAAGGACCGGACACAATAACAGAGGGGGGGAAGGGACCTTGGAGGTCTTCTAGTCCAACCCCCTGTTTGAGCAGGGCTTGGACGAGAACACCTCCAAGGTCTCTTCCAACTCTGCTATTCTCTTATTCTACCCAATCTCTTCTTGAAAACCTCCAATGGTGAAGTACCCACAACTTCTGGTGGCAGAGCTGTTCCACTAGGTGCATACACACCAAACACACACTTGGCACACACGTTAAAACAGTAAAAACTAAGCTACCGCAGCTCTCAGCTGTTTAGCACAGCTAGCTGCTCTGCTGCGCCAAACAGCTGAGAGGTTAAAATGCACCTAGGAGCAGGGATGGGAGGGTGGGCCCAACTGCAGAGTGTCAGAGAAACTCAGAGGGAACCGGGTCTCTGCCAGCTGACCTTCAGTGCTACTGATATGCCAGAACCGGGCCGAACCGGTAAAATACCACCACTGCTTTGGAGAATGGCTTGATCACCCCTCTTCTTTGTGACAATAAAGTTATTCTATGCTGTCTATATCTATGTATGTTTCTATGTATGTTTCTACAGTATGTATGTATGTATGTATGTATCTATTTATTTGTCCCTATCATCAATCATATCTATCTATCATATCTAACTGTCTCTATCTATCTATCTATCTATCTATCATCTATCTATCTATCTATCTA